TTTCAGCCGATCGTATCTGATTTAACTATATTTATTCTATATGCCTCATTGTTATGTTAAATCTGCCCTTTATATCAAGATATTGCTGTATCTAAATATGTTAGGCCTTTGTTTGATACATTATTCTTGCTTTAATATCCTAGTATAGTGTAGTATCGGAGTATTAGCCGATACATGCTAGATTTATCTGATCGGCTATGCTATAAACATATATAGTCCTATTATTAATATATATTTCGATATAAGTGATTTATACTGTCTCGGCATGATGACCGATCTATCCCAATCACTTGATTTAAGTATACATCGATATAAGGAGTATATATCGTTAATATCAACAGCCGATCGAGTAGATTTAGTTCTTTTTTACTTATTCATGACCGTCGATCGATACACAGATGACATCAGCTCAAAGATAAATGATATGTCATCGGCATCTAGCCGATTGGCTATTATTTATAGATTTAACCACGGCTTCTTTGCTTCTATTTCTTGTTGATTACAGGATCGAATCAACTGGCACGCTAACACATCCGAAGGCGAGCTTTGGACCTGCACTGGAGTTAAGCAGATCTCCCAGGCCACGTGTTTTCTGTCAACAATGTCACCACAAAGCAAATCAAGGAACCAGTCCCTTTCCTCATCGTTTTCCTTTGCAACAACTACCCAAGCTAGAGGATACATCTGATTGTTGGCATCTCGGCCTATAGCACACAGTAGCTCTCCATTGGTTGCCCCCTTGAAAAAACATCCATCCAGCCCCACCACTCTCCTACACCCAGCTGTGAAACCTTTCTTGCATGCATCCAAACAGATGTACATCCTCTTAACTACTGGTGGATCCATGCCAATCTCCCTATTCACAACTACAGTGTTGCCAGGGTTGCTTCTGAGAAGTTCAAGTTGGTAATTAAACAACTTTTGGTATTGCCCCTTAGCTGAGTCAAACTTCTTCTTCATCACAAGCCACTTTGCTCTCTTCAGCTTAGAGATAGATGCATCTACAAACATTTTTTCTTGTACAGTTGATTTCATATGAGCTATTGGCTTGGAAGGATTAGCAGCTATGAAATTGCCAAACTTTTCTGCTATCCTAACAGATGTAACCAGCCTACTATCCCTCCTAGGTGGACAAGCATGCAGGTTGTCAAAGGTTACTATTTGCCAGCTGTCTGACCTAGAATTCTTAGAAAGCAGACATACCCAGGGACAACTTTCCCAATCACAGTTTGCCCTAACCCTTTGCCCATCATCCTTACCAAAGTTGATCACTTTCCTCTCTGCAATAGCATATGTTGTAATAACCTTCTTGAATTGCTTCTTACAACTGAACTTCATCCCCAATTCAAATTTAGGGACACCTTGACTCTTCTTATACCTTGCTTGATGGCTACCTTTAGTCCTCATCTCCCTATCACTGCCAAGTTCATCAAATGATTCCTCCTCATCACTATCTGCATAAGGGGTTTTATTCCTTGCCTCATCACCACCTGTTTGCATTCTTGGTTTAGCCCTCTGGAAAAAAATGTCATCTAGGTTCTCTAGTTGTCCTGCCTTAACCTTCCTCTTGACCTCCTTGTAATGTTTCTCTATCTCAACAGCCTCTTCATCATCATCTGATTGAGCATCATCCCCTGGAGTATAATCACTGTCAGAAGGTGGGTGGCTAGCTATGGGTGTACTGTCATATGTTGGATAGTCAGGAATGGGTGCATTGGCAGAAGGTTGATGGCTACCACAGGGTGCACTTTGACAATGTTGATGCCTAGCAATAGGTGCTGAATCAGAGTGGTAAATAACTATCCTCCTATCAGTTTCTTCCTCTGCCAGTTCTTTACCCTTACATCCACTACCACCAACCTCATCAACCCCTTTCCCTTTGGATACATCTATATCAACCTCCATTTTCCCACCCTCCTCTTCACTTTCAACTTCTAACTCCATTTCTACCTCCCAATCACTGTCATCATCAGACCCATTACACAAATCAACAATCTCTGGCTCTTTAACATATACATCTGCTACATCCAATTCTCCAGTACAGTCACACATCAGTTTGCAAGCCTTATCATTAGAAAGAGCACGAAGACCTGTTTGCAAATCTTTACCAGGAAACAACCAGTGGAGCAAAGTCCCAGACATCACATTGCAATGGTCCTTTAGGTGTCCAAATAGCTCGGGCAAAGAAACCTTGTCTCTTTCTACATATGATAGAGCCTCAGATCCACCACAATATTTCTTCTCACTCCCATCTAAAACAAATACGCCCTTCAGATGAAACCTAACCACAAGAGTGTCCAACACGTCCATCCCCTTCATGCAGAACAAGATATAAAATTGACTTAGAGCATTTTAAATTTGTCCTACACTCGGTCCAAAAAAAAATGGTCCTACACATGCATACCTAGTACCAAATCCTAACTTCTGCAATAAACTAAGCCTAAACATACCCTAATCAAGTACAAACCTAAATAAATAACTCGCAGCTTACACCAAATCCCAACATCGAAAAACATTAAAAATTATTCCTTCCCACATCCCACTGATACCATGCAACAACACAAACTCAGAGAGGAAATGGAATACCTGCCGGATTCGGATGTCGGATTGCGGGGGGAATACTCGCCGATGAAACCCCCGCCGGCCGCCGCACCTAGCTCCGACTCCCTACCGAGGTCGCCCCAAGGTGGTTGCCGGCAGCCACGCCTAGGCCACCACCAGATCCAGGTCGAGCTCGATGTTGTCGGCGGCCGCGCCAAACCAGTCACCACCTCGGCGCGACACTCTGCCATCCCTTCCGCCGCCCCTTCCGCCGCCGCCTGCTGCAAATCGACCTCGTCACCAGCAGCGTCGCCCTGGCCGTCCTGATCTAGGGTTTTCACACAAGTGAGGAGTGACAAATCCGCTGTGCGCCACGAGCCTAACTGCGAGCCTAACTACCGCCCTGCTGACTCAGCGTTGAACCCCGTCGCCCCTGTTGACTCAGCGCTGAAGACCGTGGTCAATGTGCCACATATGACAAACCAGGCACAATACTGCCCTGGGACCAACAATGACCCGGTTTTGAAAGTTAGGGGACCCCCGATGTCTGGTTTTGCGGTTTGAGGACGTTTTGGTAACTCGATGACAAGTTCAGGGAGCTTCGGTGTACTTTTCCCAACAAGAAACGACAAAAACCATCGTGCACTTCCGTAAAAGTCTAGCAGCCCAGTTTAAAATAAAAAGCCTAATTGACTTCCTGTTTTCTTTGTTGATGTAGGCCAGCCCACGATGATTTCCCCTATTCATGTTACTTGCAAGTCCAAGCCACGTGAAGTTTTTCCTTTTTTTGCTTCGAAGGCCCAATGTAACGATTTTTAGCCTAAAGAGTTATGCATTTCTATTTTCCCTTTAAATTTCTGAAATGTGGTAGGTAGGGGTGGGAAAAAATTATACCTAGAAACTTTATACGAATACAACTTTATACATAGAAAGTCTACGCATAGAAAACTTTATACGTAGAAACATTCAAAGTATATACACATGGACTTTATACACATAAAAGTTATATGTAGATATTTTATACACATAAACTTTATACATAGATACTTTATACACATAAACTTTATATAGATAAAATCTATGCATAGAAACTAAAATTCATTAGGGAATAGAAAGTTTTGCAAATGAGTTTAAAACAAATTTGTATCCTACATAAGCACAAAATATCCGGATGGGCCATGAGCCCGTGAGGCCCATGTAGTTGGATCAGTGCGCCCCAACAAATTTCCGAGTCACGCGTCCGAAACTCCCGCGACCCAGCCACGTGTTTTCCCACATTCGCGCAATGAGCAACGCGCGAACGTTTGCGTATTAACGTTCTCGCATCTGAGGTCCCCCTAACCTGACAACGAATCCAATTTTTCGTCCTAACTGTCAAAACCAGTGCAATATAGGTCCCATGGCGGTTTGGATAGTGATTTTCGCTGATATGGCGTCTACGTGGCTAATTTGACTCGGTCTTCATATGACATTGTAGTGACGTGGCGCTTACGTGACAATTTGATTTGAAAAATAATAAAAATTTTTGGCCCACATATTAGTTACACAAAAAAATAAAATAAAAATGGTGAGGCTCACGTGGGCCCCACATGTCATTCTCACCCCTCCTCTTCTTCCTTCTCTCTCTCCTCAACTCCCCTCTATTCATCTCTCTCCCCCCTCTCTGTCCTCTCTCCCACGACAAGCTCGACGCCCGGGGCGAGCAGATAGTGTCCTGGATGTCACCCTCGGAGTTGTAGCTCCGGCTGCGGAGCGCGTCGGCGCGGTTCATACTCTCGCTCCGGTGGATGGGCTCATTGATGCAGTCGTTGTCGTTGACGGACGACACGTATGACCCTCGCCGGGGTGAACCGGTGCGAGGGGACCTCCTCGTCGGCGACGACCTCTGTGCCATATTGTTGGAATTAATAGATGGGCCTTAGCCCATTCGAAGATTAATTCTTTGGAAAATCATAAAAGCCCACCTCATGGGATGGCATACATGGGGAGTTTAATACCACCTTACTTATTCTAGAAGAGGGGGATCACATTAAAAGGGAGGATGCCCTCCTACCCACTTGAAGCATGTGAGGTGGAGAGAAGTGGGGGACCACGCGCTCGCTCGCCTCGCCTCGCAGGCGGCGCGTAGGCGCGCGTGCACGACTTACGTCACCCTTGCGCAGATGCAAACTCCTTTTGCAGTTTTGTTTTGCTGCGGGAAATTTTTGCAGTTTTGTTTTGCTGCGGGAAATTCGGATTTGTTTTGTTTTGGAAACATTCCGAAAAATCCGGTGCATGAAAACGGTGTGGAGTCCAGATAAGTTACGCGCGACTTATTCGGTTCGGTTACGTGGAGTGGAGATCGTACGGGCGCCCTGATCAAGCAACCTATCTCTATATAAATCGAGCCGCCTCCTTCACGCAACACACGCAAAATCAATCTAGGGTTTGCCTCCTACTCTGTGCTGCGCTATCGCTCGTAGACTACTCCATCCCGTTCGCTGGCGTGCACCGGCGATCATGAGAGTAGGTCTCCGGAACCTCTGCCTTCGACGTCCTGCACAAGGGAAAGGCGGCAATAAAGTTTTTGGGAAGCGCTTTGCACGACTGCACCCTGTTCGCCTGCGACGGCTCGTCTTCCTCTCCGTTCGCGTGCTACGCACCTTCGTCGACGCCCGCAACCGCGAGTAGTTCCTGCCGAGCAACCGGTCTTTCCGCAATCTCGGTACATGTTCAATATATTGCGCATATTTAATCTGTTCATGTTATACTATGTAATTTACATGTGTAGATCTAATGATGCGTTGATGCTAGTTTACATCTGCAATGTCATGATTTATTTATAGAATAAATTAAATCATTATGTAATTATAATTTCAACTCATGCGCGACGCCGCCCTCGAGCTGGTCACGCTCGGCGGAGAGGTACCTCCAGAAGTAGAGGATGCACGTGTTGGCGAGGATGCCGACGATCATCACCGGGAAGACGCCGAGGAGGAACTCGCCGAACGTGATGCCGCTCTCGACGGCGATGATGAGGTTCTACGGGTTGCCGATGGGCGTGGCAGCCGAGCCGATGTTGGAGCTGGAGGCGAGCGCGAGGAGGAAAGGCTGCGACGGGAGGTTGTTCTGGCGCGCCACCTTGAGGATGAACTCGGTGAGGACGACGCAGCTGGTGTCGTTGGTGAAGAGCGCGCTGGCGACGGCGGAGACGACGCAGACGCGGAAGAAGAGGTCCTTGCTGCCGCGGCTCTTCCAGGAGAGCATGTTGCCGAGGTACTTGAACATGTCGGCGCGCTCCAGGAAGATGGAGACGACCATGGTGCCGAAGAGGAGGCCGAGGATGGGGAGGTCGATCGATCGATAGATGTTTTCTCCGATCAAATTGGTTCCCCAAGAACCCTAGTACTGATCCTGCAAAACTGGAGCAGCGTGTGTTAGTGCAGAAACCAACCAAGAACTGGACAAAAAAAAAGCACAGAACTGATCAATGCGCAGAATCTTCGGTGAGATCAGACGAATTAACTGAAGAAATAATCATACAAGAATCGGTCACAAGAGATTGGCCGCCGTCGAAGGCATGCGAAGTACGTTGCACATCATGCAGCGTTTGAGGGTCAGTCACACACTCACACATGGCTAAGAATAGCTAGCTAGGCAGCATCGATCACCCACAAATTTTGACAATTTGACCCTTTGAAAAAATTAATTTTACAAATAAACTGTCGCCAAAACTTATTTCAAAATGATCCTTTTTTTCAACGCCAAATCATTTGGCGTTGAACTTAGACACCTCAGCGCCACGTCAACTGGCGCTGAATGCTGAGCCACCGCGGATGGGAGGCTAAGTCAGCGTGCCAACGTACATTCAGTGCCACGCTATTTGGCGCTGAGGTGTGTAAGTTCAGCGCTACATGATTTGGCGCTGAACAAATGGATCATTTTTGAAATAAGTTTTGACAGCGGTTCATTTGTAAAAATAGTTTTTACAAAGAGTTAAATTGTCAAAATTTGTGATCGATCACCTGTCGATTTTTATCCATGGAGTCGCTCACCTCAATCACGGCTCGATCGAGCAGCACGTCCGGCCGCTGAGGACGAAGGGGTGATAGCTAAAGCCAACACAAATACACAACACAACGACGACGATGACGATGATAGCATACACAAGTCCAAGATCGCCGGAGTGGGAGTTGCGTTTGCTCGCTGTCGTCTTCGTCGACGTCGGCGGCGGTGCGTGGTTGTGATCTCCTCCTCGCGGTTGTGATCTGAGGCCTTGGCGATGCTGGAGGCGAGGTCGAGCAGTAGCGCGATGCCGACCGTGGGTGGGGCAGGGGGATCTCTCTCTCTCGACGACGCGGGGTAGCGGCGGCGGTGTGGAGTCTGGACTCACTGGCGTGGAGCAAAAGCCGGAAGGCGAGGCAGAAGGTGGAAGAGGTGGCGGGGGCTGGGATGACGACGACAACGGCGAAAGCGACGGCTGTGAGGTGGCGCCACGGCGCGAGGAGAAGCACCTGAAGTAGGCGCGACGAGGAAGAAGAGGGAGAGCCGAGAAGGGATAGGGAATGATATGTGGGGCCCACGTGGAGCCCACCATATTTACTTTTTTCTAGCTGGCATTTGGGTCCACGTGGGCCCCACTGCTTTTATATTTTTTGTGTGTAGCTAACCTGTGGGCCCATGGTTTTTATTATTTTTCCGAGATATTATTGCCACGTAAATGCATGCGTGGGACAGAGACCTAGTCAAACCAGCCACATTAGCCAGAACCGTCTTCCAAACCGCAAGAGATCTCATTTGCATCTGGTTTTGACAGTTCAGGGACTAAAATCGGATTTGGTGTAAAATAAGGGACCTCAAATGAACTTATTCCCTGTAGCTTTAATGGACTGTTTCCACAAATCTAGCTAACGGCCCAATAGAGGTCTATTTCATTTCGAAATAAGTTCACATGTCCTTTAATTTGTCTCTACGGTTGAAATAAGTCCCTAACCAAAATGATATAACAATTTACAAAACCGAATCATCTGAGAATTTCCTAGACAGTATGAAACCTGATTTTAGCTGATGTGACAAGCTGAGTCATCGTGACACTACTGGGGAAAGGGACATTAGCTAGAAATTGAAAAAACTTCTTTTAGCCCACATATAAAAAATTGATTCATTAATTCTGAACGGGTGTCGGTTTCATTGATATAAATTAGAGTTTTCCATGTTCTACTCATACTCCTATGGTCTTAGTATTATGTGAGTGGTCCAGGAGTATGATTGGGCTAGACCAAGAACGAATAATGCCCAACAGACACTGTTTATTGTCTTTCCTAGCTCAAGGCGAGAAACAAAAGAGAAGGAAGATGGGCGTCGGTGCTCCGACGACCAAACGACGGTGATGAAAGTGGTAAGACGTGTCCCACGATATAACTCGTCCATAGATGGTGGAGCTTAGCAATAAAGAAAACCAGAACAAGAGGGACGCTGGGGGCAACAATGAGGTCCTGATACATAGATAAATGACAAAGACGAGATCTAGTGGTGACACAACCGGATGAGTGCATCAAAACACGTTCCCGAACGAGAGGATTCCATTTTCCTTGTAAGCGCGGGAAAAACCGATTAATACTATTCATTGTCTTCCCTAGCCAACACAAGAAACACAAGAGGAGGGAAGATGGGCGACAGTGCTCCAGTAACCAAACAACGGTGAGTAAGGTGGCCGGATGTGTCCCACAATGTGACATCCATATATGGTGGCGGTTGGCAACGAAGAAAACCAGAACAATGGGAACGTAGCAGGCAACAACATGGTCCCAATAGAGAGAAATGACAATTGTGAGCTCTTGTGGTGAACATGGCCGAGTGAGTACGTCAAAGCGTGTTCCCGAACGAGGAGGTTCTATTTTTCTTAAATGTGCGAGAGGGAGGGAACACAGGAGAGAAGAGGGTGTCAGGGTTACAGATAAGGTATACCTTCTACCCTTGGATATATGCTATACGGAAATACGTTATAGCAGTGCATAATCGGACGTTATTTGAACACGCTAAGGAAATCAATCACGAAGTCTGCCAATGGAAAGGTTCCTACCCGTATAGGACTGGATCGTTACTATATCGTGCAGGGTCCGATGTCTCCGAGTCCTACTTGGAGACCACCCGACCTGCGATATAAAAGGGGCCCCCCCGGGGGGACCTAAGGCATTTTATCTCAGAGCCTACACATCGGCCACAGCTTACGAAGTCGAAGACTACAGGAGCCAAGTCGCCAGGTGATCTAGTCGAATCAACTTGACTACGATCTCGTCGGTACCGCTGAGTTCTATTGCTCCCTTTGTAATCTGTGGTTCTTTTCATATAATCTCATATCAACTGGATTAGGGCTATTACCTGCTAAGGGGCCTGAACCAGTATAATCTTCGTCTCTTGTTTCCTTGATGTCGTATTACGTAGATCCTCGTACCAGCGCACCTCAATACCCTCTATATCCGGTCTACGGGTACCCACCGTCTACAGTGGCGCACCAGGTAGGGGGCCTTGGTGCTCAAGGTTCTAGTGCTATGACATCGAGCTTCGTCGACAACAGAGTCAACATCGGCCCCATCCAAGGAATCCCTGCTTCAACAATGCTGGTGTGGACTCAAGTCGGCGAAATCGTCTTCCCGGTCTACACCACGGTGCCAATCTCGGCTGGTCCATCAATAACTAGAGACGAGAATGCCGTGATTATAAACTCGGACGATCCAAAGTCGAAGAATCCTCCCGCCGTGGCAGAGAACGGAACATCGACGTCGTACAAGCTCGAGAAGATTCCTAGTGCGGCCGAGCCTTGTCCTTCTGACAAGGACTGCGAGCCGACGAGGACAACTTCCGAGCTAACCAAGTCCTGGTGTCCTATCCACAAGTCCAGGAAGCACAACTTGCAAGCTTACTGGGTTTTTCTCAACGTACAAGCTAAAATCCGTGCTTGTAAAGAGCGTGGAATCCAGCGTACTTCTCCAACTCGTGATGTCTATTGTCCTATTCACAAGACGAAGAATCATGATTTCTCAAGCTGCAAGGTCTTTCTCTGCGCCATGAAGACGACACTTCCCAAGGTCCAGCAGTCAGGAACCTGTCTCGAGGATACAGACAAGGAACAAGGAGCGACGTTGACTTCGGATCGTTTCGTTGGAGTAATCGACATCGATCCCCGCAAACCATCAGTCCTTCACTTGCTAGAAGACTATGGCTTGTCATCTTCTAGTACACCACGCGACGTGTTTGCCATCGGTGGGACTAGCACGTCTGCACAGGCTAACGCAGAGGCAGAGAACCAGACGGCCACACCAGCCCAACATCTCGGCACCGTCAACACAATATTGAGAGAAGCTCCCTATGACCCCGTGCTTAACGATGATCTCGCACGATGGACGGAACGACTATGGGAATCAGTAGCCAATCTCAGTAACACATTCGAGGAAGCTGCTACCAGAGCACAACTGGAACGATCGACAGCTGACGGTGCCGACGGTGAACCACCGGAGGAGCGGACGTCGCCTGCACGAGCTACCCCTCCACCTCGCGGCACCAGCGATCTCCGTGACCATCTGAATGGCCGCCAAGAAGCATGACGTGCACGAGACAACGAGAATCGTTCCCGACATCGTGTTTCTTCACGACAACGCGGGAACGAGTAGCGAGGAGGCCACTCGAACGAGGGCCAACAGCACCGTGATCGTCACAACCGCCACGGTCGCGATAACCGTGAACAGCGGACACCAGACGATGATGGTCGGGGGCGTTAGCATGAAGGTGATGATAACGGTGACCGGCGCCAGGACAACAATGGTGGACGGCGACATAATTCTCGAGAACCCGAACATCGCCCTCGGAATCGCACGCCAGAGCCAAGTGAGCCATCGTCGTCATCGTCATCATCATCTTGGTCTTCGTCATCCAATAAACGTCCACGGAGGACACACGATCGCCGACAACCCACTGCCCCTAGCGCTGTGTGTAGAGCTTTCAACCGTTCTCTACATGATGTTCGATGGCCCGAGAGATTCCGACCCGGAGCAATAGAGAAATACGATGGAAGTACTGACCCTGAAGAATTCCTCCAGGTCTACTCCACGGTACTATACGCTGCTAGGGCAGACGACAATGTGTTAGCATACAATTTACCAACGACGTTGAAAGGTTCTGCGCATTCGTGGCTGATGCACCTCCCACCTTACTCGATCTCTTCATGGGCAGATTTGTGGCAACAATTCGTCACGAACTTCCAGGGAACTTACAAGCGCCACGCGATCGAAGACGATTTACACGCATTAACACAGAATCAGGGTGAATCTTTGAGGGACTATGTTCGGCGCTTTAATGAGTGCAGAAATACGATCCCCGATATCACCGATGCTTCTGTGATCCGCGCTTTCAAAACAGATGTCAGAGATCGCTATACTATCTAGGAGTTGGCAACAAGGCGAATCACTACCACTCAAAGGTTGTTCGAGGTTGTCGATCGATGTGCCCACGCAGACGACGCGCTAAGACGCAAAAACGACAAACCAAAGGCGGGAGGAGAGAAGAAGCCAGCCAAGGACGCACCCAAATCAAGCAAGAAGAAAAGCAGCAAGAGTAGGAAGAGGAAAGCTCAAGCAGAAGTCCTTGCATCTGAATACGAGCGCCTGCCCAAACACCCAGACC